GGTTGTTTCCTGCTTTCTCCTCTAGGGTGTTGATAGTTTCCTGTCTCACGTTCAGGTCCTTTATCCATTTGAGTTTATTTTTGTGCATGGTGTGAGAAAATGATCTAGCCATGTGTAGCAACATGGATGGACCTTGAGGGGGTTATGCTTAGCGAAATAAGTCAGGCAGAGAAGGACAAATATCATATGTTTGCATGTATAAGAGGATTAGGAGGAACTTAACTGAGGAACAAGGGGGAGAAGAAGGGGGGAAATGGTGGGGGAAAGGGAGAGAGGCAAACCATGAGAGACTCTTGAATGCTGACAAAAACTGAGGACTGATGGATGTGGGGGGGAGGGGGGGATGGGCATGGAGGAGGGCACTCGTGGGGATGAGCACTGGGTGTTATGTGGAAACTAATTTGACAATAAACTATTTGTAAAAAATAAATAAACTTTAACCCCCCCCCAAAAACAAACCAAAAAAAACTGCATTAGGGCTTTATAAAGAATTGTAATGGAAGTCTCAAGAGTCCAATTTAGATTGTTCTCAATGAATCTGAAAAATTCACTGAATTGTAGGTACTTTCCTAAACTAGTGATACAAATAAAAACTGAACAACGTATTTGAAATCAAAAGTTGCTACGGTAAATTGAAAACTGATGCAAACTATAACTCTGCATCCCCTAGGACCACGGATTTGCACCTACAAATGTTTTCTTCTCTTTGCCTTTTATTTATACATATCTCCCACTTCTCTGATCAGGTCCCATTATAGTTCCACAATACAACAGGGTTTGTATTGCGTCCTTTCTGTCTGGTGCTGATTCAGGTCTCTGTTCCCTTCTTGCCATGTGGCTCATATTCTGCTTAGAGTCGTTGTTTCAGGGGTCAAATTTCTCATGGCCGGGTAGCATCTGCCAGTCCACAGCATCTCTAAGGACAGTCCCCTCTTTACACAACTCCCCTAGGGAAATCTATTCTAATGAACCCAAGAGCACTGAATCAACCCATCAGGTAACTAACTTGTTCTTTCCATTACTATATTGCTTCACAGCACTTGGCTTGATGCTGTTCACCTAAATTTAGGAGAACCTTTCTATCCATTTCCTCACTGTGCACAAACAATTTCATCTCAGCTCAATTGATGAAATCTGTTGATGATGATCTGGTGTCAGAAGAGGAGGTGGAGGTCCTGGGATATCTTTCAGGTCTCTGGGATATCTTTCCATGCTCATGACACATCTCATTTTCCATTCTTTCTTTCCTTTCTTCTGTATGCCCACTTATACTCCTTCAAATTCCCCTCATTACATTACCATTTGCCTTAAAGTGCCACTACTACCTTTTTTTTTTTTAAACAGGCTTCCTTCTTTCAGTGGTCTCTTGGATTATATAAAAATTCTTGGTTACAGAACTGAACAGACATTTAAGATCTGCTGGCCCAGCCTCCTCATGTTAGAGTTGAAAAAATGGGTACAGAGAGTTTACATAAATGGTTTGAGTTGGCCCTCAAGACTACAATTCAGTCTTCTATTTTTTCCAGGATATAGGTTTCCTTTTATTATTTTTTAAATGTTTATTTATATTTTAGAGAGAGTGAGGGGTGGGGCAGAGAGAGAGGGAGACAGAGGATCTGAAGCAGGCTCCAGGCTCTGGGCTGAGAGCAGAGAGCCCAGTGTCGGGCTTGAACTCACAAACTGTGAGATCATGGCCTAGGCCAAAGTCAGACACTTAACCAACTGAGCCACCCAGGTGCCCCGCTGGTCTCCTTTTTAGATGCTGAGTTTTTACAAAAAGGTATGGAGGAACACTTATTTGTATTCAACTAATACACATTAATAAGAAGACACTCTGGATGATAAAAAGTGGGATAAGCTACAGACTGCCCTCCAGGAGCCTGAAGGTCCTGCCCTGCCCAGAATGGCTATCACAAGGCTCAATAGGAATTGAATGAGGGCTCAAAGATTTGTTCTCTTCAAATTTTATCTCTAGTAGGCACGTATACCCTAATGACTGAATTTTCAACAAGAATCACATCTTTAAATAATGGCATTATATCTTCAAAGTGCCTCTGCTATTAAACGGAAATGCTCCTGGGAAGGTACAACACAGGATAGAACCAATACCACGTTAGCTCTCACATAGCTGTTCATGTTCCATAAGAGAACAAGCTGAAAAATACAGAATTAATTCTCATTTAAGGGGGGAGTCCCAATGCTTATTGAGTGCTGAAAGAATAGGAAGGTGTTCCTCAAAGCTAACTGAACATTTATTATGTGCCACACTGTGGGCCAGATACTGACAGCACTGAAATAATAAGATGAGGAGCCCACAGTGAGGTGGAAAAACAGACATGTAAACCCTGACAACACTACTAAGGAAGTGCTTACTGAGATAATTATGGCACAGACCTAAGGCAGGACAGAGAGAGAGAGAGAGGCCTTCTAGTTGAAGAAGATACGAGATAATATGGCAGTTTCAAGAAAATACAGTGGTCAGCATGTTTAAAACTCGGTGAATGCATACTAGTGAGTATATGAGTATGTAAGAGAGAGAATATGCACATGACTGGAAGACAAAAGATGGAAAGAGATGGTGGGAAGACATGGGAATGGAGAGAATATTGCATAAGAGATGGGAGCTATGGAGGAGATGGGTGGGGAGAGCAGAGCATGGGGAAAGAGTGAGCAGAGATGGGAAGCAGAGCTGGGGATAAAGAAAGGAGGTGAAGGGGGGCAAGTAGGGAAGAAAAAATGTGCACACATCTGTGTATTTGTGTGAGAGAGAAGTGAGAAAGGACATGTGTGTGTTAGGGGTCATAAGGCTGAGGTGCAGGGTGGTATGCAGGAGACACCAACATCTGGGCTTTATCCTGAAAGGCTGAGCAAGCACTCAAGGACTTCAGGCAGATGAGAGATATAATCAGATGGGGACTCTTCCTGAATGGGCTGACATGCCAGCCTCATGCCTGTCACTTGATGGGGAAAGCTGAAACAGATGCCATGCTCCACCCATGTCCCCGGGGCCCTTTTGGGTGCTCCTAAGTCTCAGCATCCCTGTCTCTGTGCCTAAGAAGCCCATGGTTGATTTCCCCTCCCCTCTATGTCTTCCCCCAGCAGCCTTCAGGGTGCTCAGGAGCCATGTCTGCATATTTCAAATGCTCTGAACCATCTGCCAGGGGTTCCCTGTGGGGTTAAGTTTCAGATGCCCACTATGGTAGTTGGCTTAATAATACACCATTTTCCAGCTATCTGCTCTTCCCTGTTTCACCCCCCTACTTGCCTCCTGACATCCCCTGCACTTCCCAGATGAACCACTTATATTTGAATCCTTGTCTCAGGGTCTACTTCAGGAGAATCCAACCTGAGATAAGCACAAAGGGTACCCAAATAACTGCTCTAAGGCCCAACTGGGGCCCTTCTACAACAGCACTAACACAGGGAGGGGAGTGGAGGTAGGAAGGGGAGAGAAGGACACAATCTTCACAGTACTACTAATATTTACATTCTTGAACTGAGTTTAGTCTGCCTCTTTATCTATCTGACAGGTAGCAATATAGCCATAACACCTTGTCTTCAAAATGACCTGACAGATCAATATGCTTTAAAAGCCCTGAAAAGTATCATAGGCCCCCAAATAAAGTAATTTTTAATTTGTAAAGTAATTTGTAATAAAAGTGTAATTTGTAAAATTAGTTTAAAGGGGTTTTTCTTTAGCCCTTATCCCATTAAATTTTTTTTTTAACATTTTATTTATTTCTGAGAGAGAGAGAGAGAGACAGCGTGAGCAGGGGAGGGTCAGAAAGAGAGGGAGACACAGAATCTGAAGCAGGCTCCAGGCTCCGAGCTGTCAGCACAGAGCCTGATGTGGGGTTTGAACCCACGAACCGTGAGATCATGACCTGAGCCGAAGTCGGACATTTAACTGACTGAGCCATCCAGGCGCCCCAGCCCTTATCCCATTTAAAAAGATTTTAACATTATATAATAAATAGTCTTACAGTCTTACAAAGAGGGAGAAATTCACTTAATTTGGGCCAAATCCCCATGTCTCACACACTGCCTCATTTTGTTTCACTTTCTGGAACTCTACAAATTATTAGTTCATTTGCATCAACTATATTCTATTCAAGGGGAAATACCCCCGGCATTTTGGGGTATTCGGGCAATACACTCCCTCAGAACACCTTTTTCCTAAGACTTACATGCGGTCAGCCAGTGGAGGTGAAGATCTGATACCTGATTCAGGCAGATTCCAGCTTTCCAGGACAAAAGGAAGAGGAGGAACGGAATGGGAAGACAGCGGGACAGATATTCCCTGGTCTGAAACATTGCTTACTGTACAGCTTCCTGAGGTAAGTGATATCACTTGTTTGAGTTTCAAAGATCGCTTCCTGCATTTAGCTTTGGATTCAGGGTGGCTTCCAATGGAGCGCCCATCTTTCCCAATGGTAGCTACATGATCTGCTCTTCTGTGCCATCACAGACTGTTTTCAAAAGGCATTCTTTATCCAAAATTCAAATGCTCTCAATATAAAATTATTTATAAAACATGATTCTCCCTTTCAAATTCCTCCCTCTCACATTTGGCTATATCATGAAATCAATAATTAAGTAAAAAGACATTTGTGTGAAAATAAAAGGAAGTCTTCTATTATTTCCTTTTTTCTGTTGGGAAGGCAAAATTCCCTGCTTTGTCCACCACTTTTATTTTCTCTGTGGAATCTCTGAACAGCAAAGAGATTTACAATGTTGACAATAACAATTATTTTTTGAATGTTAAGTATTCTACTTGAATACAAAGGGAAAAAAAACAACAACCCATAGTGCTGTAGCTAAAACTTGCTATTGTTTGAGCACATCTGATCTCCAGATCTTGGTTTCTAAATACCTTTCCAACCAGAAGGAACCACAACTCCCTGGAAAAGAAGCTAATTCCATGTCTGAGGCAGGGGCAGATAAAGTAAACCTGGAACACGTTGTGCCCCAAAGCAAAGAAGGCTCAGGATTAATGAGGTCAGTTCAAAAGGACACAGAAGCCAATTTGAAGAGACACTCCCAAGAAAAATTTGGGGAAATATGAACAACAAAAAGAATAATTATAGTAATTGATAATACACTAAGTACAAATTCCTAAGTCCATAGTGATACTTAAAAAAAGAGAGAGGAAAGAAAAGAAAAGAAAAAAAAAAGCTCTTCTTTAAGAATTCAATTAATTCTTCTTTAAGAATTCAAGCTAATAAAGAGGAAAATCAAATTAGAAAATCCCCATTCCAAAACCTCCACTATACTGATTCAAGTATCACTAATGGATCCTAAAACCACTAGGTAAAAGGTTATTGAGAAAAAAGATATTCCCAAGATGTCAAACTATCACTCAATAGATTATTTGCTCAGTTGCAAAGGGAATAAAGGTACCTTATAAGAGAGGTCTAGAGCTTGCCATCTTAAACAATGCATCAAACTCAACCTCACTCAGGTCAGACCACTTGATATGACTCATAAGCCTCCTGATGGGATGCAGTAGGGCATATGTAACTTCAGCTCTGACTATTAAATTTAACGAATCAAAATTAACAAAATTAAAAATTCAGTCCTTAGTGTCACAAGCCACATTTTAAGTGCTCAGTAGTCATGTGTGGCTAGTGGTTACTGCATTAGCACCACTATAGATAAGGAACATTTCTATAACTACAGGAAATTCTACTGGGGAGTGGTCTAATCCACATTTCCAGTTAAATGATACCTCAAAGAAATAACCAGTCAAATTCTGAATGTAAGTCATTCTATAGGCAACTAGATTGCCTTCTTCAAAAAGCCAGTGTCATGAAAAAAAAAAAAAAGCAAGAGTGGTAGGATACTAAATTAGATTTAGAAACCAAAAAACCACAATAGCAAATCTAATGTGAACCCTAGTTGCTTCCTAGTCTGGAAAAATAAAGAAAATTTTGGGAGGAACTGGGGAAATTTAAATATCAGGTAGACATTAAGTGGTATTATGAAATCATTATTACTTTTCTTGTGTGTGATAATGGTAGTATGATTATGTAGGAGACTGTGTTCTTAGGAGATGCACACTTAAGTACTTAGGGGAGAAATGTCATGGTGTCCACAGCATACTTCAAACAGCTGAGGAAAAAATGTACACACACACACACACAACAAATATGGCAAAATATTTACAACTACTGCATCTGGATACAGACTATGTGAGTTGTTAGTCCATTCAGGTGGCTATAAGAAAACATTCCTGACTAGGTGGCTTATAAACATCAGAAATGTATTGCTCACAGTTCTGGAGGCTGGAAAGTCCAAGATCAAGGTGCTGATGTGGTCACCTTCTGGTGAAGGCCTTCTTCCTCATTCAGAGCCAGCACCTTTTCACTGCATCCTCACCCCATAGAAGCGCTCCAGAGCCTCTTTTAGAAGGCACTAATCTCATCCCTGAAAGCTCCACCTTCATGACATAAGTCTCTCTCAAAGTCCCCAGGTATAAATACCATCACATTTGGGGGTTAGGATTTCAAGATATGAATTTCAGGACACAAACATTCAGACCACTGCATGAATGTTCATTATAAAAATTCTTTTCATTTTTCTGTGTACTTGAAATAAAGGCTTGGGGTGAGGGAAAACTGCTAGAGAAAAAAAGAGAGGGAAGTAACTAAAGTCAACTTCTCCTGTAACCAGTATTTGGTTGGGTTAACTTAAGCAACAACCCTTGTCCAGCACCAATGGTGAGAGAAAAAAGGCCTAGCCCTCCACACTGGGCATACTCTATGGAGCAGAAGGTGGCCCAGCACCTTGGAGGAAAGGGATGCCAGAATCAGAAGGTTGCAGAGAGCAATTGTTCTAAATCACACAGATGAGGAGTATGAAGTCCAAATCCGTGGGGCCAGTTCTACCCTACCCTCATTCTCTCCCAAAACACTGCCTGATGGGAACAGAGGAGCCCAGACCCCAGAGAAAAAACCCTGTAAAGGAGGAGGTAGGGGCGCCTGGGTGGCTCTGTCAGTTGAGTGTCCGACTTCTACTCATGTCATCATCTCATGGTTCATGGGTTTGAGCTCTGCATCTGGCTCTGGGCTGACAGCTCAGAGCCTGGAGCCTGCTTCAGATTCTGTTTCTCTCTCTCTCTCTGCCCCTCCCCCACTCATGCTCTCTCTGTCTCAAAAATAAATAAAACAAAAAAAAATTTTTTTTTAATAACAAAAAAGTAAAGGAGGAGGTGGTCTCTAGAGAGAACCCTAATGTTGCTCAAATTCAGTCATGAGGCCAAAAAATACCATGTGTCAGGTGCTGTGCCAGCTAGTGACTAGTGCCCATGCATGTTACAATTATTTCTGCAGTAGAATAAGAGACAGATATTCAATTAATTCCTCAAATAAAGTTGAATCTGAGAAAATGCAATTTCAAGTTCCCTAATCAAAATTTGACCACATGGTAAATCATAGAGCAAATGAGCAATTAATCTTATGGATGAACAACTGAACATTAATGACTGCCACTGATCTGAAATTTAGGGCTCGTTACTTCCAGTTTTAGCGAGAGAGAGAAAGAGAGAGAAATAGTACAAAACAAGATGTTACCTTTAGTTCCTGAAGCCTCTTTGTATTTGTAGTAAAGTGTCCAACATGAGCTTGGACACGCTCAAACTGCTTTAAATACTCTTGGTTTCGAGTACGAGCCTTCTTTTCTGATTCGCATATTTCCTTCAGGTATCTTTTCAGCTTCACATACTTCAGCTTAACTCTAGAAAAATAAAAAGAGATTTGTAAACAATGCAGTTAGACACTGACAAATCAAAGGAAGAGAATTCTCTTAAACAAAACTGTTAATAAGACAATGTATTCTGAGATACTTTACCTAAACACCAAAAGCTAAAGGGCAAAATGTACACGCATTTTTAGAGAGAAGAAATTAATGCAACATCACTGAGTATCACATCCAGGCATAACTCTCCTGAGAAATGTATACAAGACTACATTATAACATTCACACAATAAAGACTTATATGGATTTCTTTCTCAAATTAAATGTGGTTTCAAGAGCGGTGGCTATGTGGCCATGGTAGGGTGAATAGCATTAGCATTCTTTTCATGACAGACAATTTCAAAACCACCTACTCATATGGAAATAGAATCAAACTATAAACCACAATCCATAAACATTGAGAAATTCTGAAATTTAAAATACCCAAAAAGCTCTCATTTATATAATATTAAATTTTTTATTAGGAATTGCAGCAACCTACTATATTTAAAACATATTTTATGATAATATATGGACTGTGGTTCTACTCAGATTTTGAAAAATACCTTTAGAGACTCTCATCCAAAGTGTAAAACAAAAGGCACACATTGGGGCACCTGGGTGACTCAGTTTGTTGAGCGTCCAACCCTTGATTTTGACTCAGGTCATGATCCTGGGGTCGTGAGATTGAATCCCATGTCAGGCTCCACCCTGGTGTGGAGGCTGATTAAGATTCTCTCTCTGTCTCCCTCTGCCCCTCTCCCCTACTCCAGCATACTTTCTCTCAAAAAATGAATGAGTGAATGAATGAATGAATGAACAACTAAATGAAGAAGCACTCTGAATGGCTCAAGTTGTGCAGCCCACTCTTCCCACAGAACCAACACTGCTCATTCTAGCTCTTTCTTCTTCACAAGTTTTACATCACAAATACCTGATGTGAAGCATTTCTACTGTTAGTTCAATAAAATAATTCAACATTTTAAATTAAGTTTTTAATTTTAATTCAAGTATAGTTAACACACTGTGTAATATTAGTTTCAGGAGTATAATATACTGATTCAACAATTCTTTTTTTTTTAAATAGTTTATTGTCAAGTTGGTTTCCATATAACACCCAGTGCTCATCCCCACAAGTGCCCTCCTCCATGCCCATCCCCCCCCTTCCCCTCTACCCCACCCCCATCATTCCTCAGTTTGTTCTCAGTATTTAAGAGTCTCTCATGGTTTGCCTCCCTCCCTCTCCCCACTATTTTTCCCCCTTCTTCTCCCCCATGGTCCTCCATTAAGTGCAGCACTCTCAACAATAGCCAAAACATGGAAAGAGCCTAAGTGTCCATCAACTGACGAATGGATCCAGAAGATGTGGTTTTTCTATACAATGGAATACTGCATGGCAATGAGAAAGAATGCAATCTGGCCATGTGTAGCAACATGGATGGACCTTGAGGGTGTTATGCTGAGCGAAATAAGTCAGGCAGAGAAGGACTTAATGGATTCAACAATTCTATACATTACTCAGTGCTCACAGTTTTCATGTTCTGCTATCAAGCAAAACTAAGATGAAAATCACAAAAAAGTTCACCCTCAAAAACAGATTTGCAAAGATGCTGCAGATATTAAAAATTAATCAGCAACAGACCTTAAACCTCTACACCTAGGCCAAAAATTTTCAAGAAATTCTTTATTGTGCTAATAATTCTGTGCTTTGACCTTGGTTGGCTGTCCCCATTTTTCCTTCTGGGGAAAAAAAAAACCTTAAGACTGGTTTTACTGCTGCCCACGTCTGCCACTTTTGACACTAAGTGACAATAATGGAGTTGGAACCTAACATACTGTCTTTCACATGCAGGCACTGGTGAAGCTGCTGGTGGTGGCCAGAGTCCAGCTGGAGTAGGTACAATAGTAACCATGCCTTCTCCACCCAAAGTCTAGTTTTGTTCCTGCCCCACATTAACCTTCAAAGCTCACCACTTCAGTCATCTGCCCATCCATGCAGTCATTCATATATTCAGCACTGTGGATAGGAAAGCCACCTAGCTAGTCAACAGGGAAAACAAAAAATTAGAGGAGTCCAATGCAGTGTGATAAATGCTAAGAGGGAAACTGCCAGGGACTCCTACAGACTGGGCAATGTGACTCAGTTGAAGGGGTCAGGAAGGCCTTTCCAAGAGAAATTAATTTTTAGCTTAGACGTGAAGGATGGGTGAGAATTAACCCAAAACTGGGGAAAGCAAGGGTGAGAAGACGAGGGGAAACACTGAAGCAGGAGAAACAACATGTTGGAAAGCTTAAAGGCAATAATTAAGAAGAATAACAGTAATACTGATAAAAATAGTAACAAATAATAAATTATTAACTCTTACACAGGGTCAGACACTGCTTTAAGGCTCTGTTCTACCATTAACCCCATTTGACAGATAAAGGAATGTAGGTAAAGAATGTTGAAGTAATTGTCCCAACGGCACATGGCTAATTGGTGGTGGGGCTCAGACTGAACAAAGGTCCCTGGCAACAAAACCTATCTGCTTACATGAGACTATGACAGTCCTCATCATGCTTCAGACACTGAAGATTCTTTGTAACATGTTAGTGGAGGCTAGTGAAAGAGGGTGATGATGAAAATGAGCCAGGGGCAAATAACGGAGGGTCTGCCCTCCTCAGAGGGATACTTCTCTTCCGGATACTTCTCAGGCCCTCCTCACATCCTTCTGGCCCAGCTTTTCCTCTCCCAGCCATGGTAGCACCTGGTATCTTGCTTTTCCAGGACTGCTCCTCTGAATTTGCAGCATGGATCTGAGAAGGAGCTAACACCTCCCTGGGTAGCCTTGTCCATTGTGGAGTTATCAATACATAAATGCCCCCCCTCCTCCTTCCCTTGAGTGAACACTTGTGAGGAGCAGAGAGGAAATCTACATGGCTCCTCTGAAGGTCCGGAAGGATGGAGCCTCAGGTGCCCACAGCAGTGACCAGCTTCCAAGCCTTGCTCACGAGTTTTATGTGACCACTTCCTAAAATAAACTATCTTTAAAATAAACCCTTGTCTCAGACTTCTCAGGGGGAAACCAGGTTGAAACAGTCATGTCAGACAGTTTGGATTTTATCCTGTCAGGAGGTGAAAAGAAGGATATTTTTAGCAAATCATACCCTCTGTCTTCCAGGAAACAAGAGGGGAACAAACTCAGCAAACTGATGGCTTGCTAGAAGTCCAGTCTCCTCTCACCTCCCCACTCCCATCACCATTATGACAGGAAGGCACCCCCAAACAGGCTGCAGGGAAAGTCTACACTCTATCGGCTGCCCGCTTAGCTGCAGGCTAGAAAAATGGCAGCTGCCACAGATGCTCTCAGACTCGGGCCCACTTCTGAGGTCATGGTATCCATGACTCTGCTATTCCTTATACTATTTCACTGGCTTCTTGTCTCTTCTAGGACTACTGGGGGCATATCACTGTTCACTGTGACTGGTATCCCTGGAAGTACACTAAATCCTAAAACCAAAGAATAATTTTGCATATGAGGAAATAAATGGACTTGATGGGTGATTTTGTTTTAAAGTCTTCTCTCTCTTCTGGATGAGGTGTTTTCATTTCTCACTCATTTTATGATGTGACTAAATCATAAAATTAATGTTATCATAGCCAGAAAATTTTCATATGAATACTATTGGAGGTAACCACATTTGGCTTAAGGATGAAGTTCAATTTCCATAAAACAGAATTAAAAATATTAAAAGTCGGCTCTTCACATTAGAGTAACCTGGAAAGGATGACATGTATATTATCAATTGTTCATAAGAATTTTCACAGGCATTGTCAAATATCCATGAATAAATGAGACATCACGTAACCCTGCCTTCAACAGTTTGTTGAAAGGTCAGCTATAGTCATTATGCCTTAATCATTACACGGGCTCAAAGTGTTTAAATTGTGATAAAAAAGAGAAAGACTATGATGCATCTTATTCCTCAGATAGTTAAGCAAAATAGATTCCTGAAATACCACAAATACCAAACTGAAAATAAAATCACTTTTATTTTACACAAATTTTAACCAAATTTATTCCCACATTTGATAGCGATTATATTAAATTTCAGTGTTTACTTGAAATGATTATACATTAGATGTAAGAGTAAAAGTACTGCAATTATGGTATCTGTAACATACATTAGGGTTACATTTTTATTAACATATGCCAATTGGTTGAAAAACTGTTCCCACTGTCACATCCTACCTGCATACATCAGACTGATTATATTCATAAAGTTTCTTTTCCAGGTCCAGTCTCTTTTTTTCACTGTAAAAGAGAAAGAAAACACTTTGTGAATAAATTACACTGTTAAGTAATAGGCAGCTAGATTTAGAACATGATCTCTTTTGAAATTATCCTTTGTGAGAATGCATCTCTGGGCTCTCTAGGAAGCAGAAAATGACAGCTGTTTAAAACTCAAGTCACAAAAACATTTGGTAGTCACCATGGAAGTCTAAAAAGCAAAATGCAATATGAAGCAAAAAGATCAAGATTTTCAAGTAAATGGGGGAAATGTACTAAGAAAAGACTGGAAGCCAGGTTCATTCATTCAGCAAGTATTTCTTGAGTGCCAGGATGAGCCAGGCACTGTTCTAGTCCTGAAGACTAACATGGTGAACAAGCTAACCAAGGCCTCTGCTGACATTCTAGAGGGAAGGACAGACAATAAGCAACATAAATATGTAAAATACCACACGGTCAGATTTCTCTGGACAGTGGCAAATGAATGATCGGTGTGCTGCCACGTCAAGACACTGTACTTCCACAAATCCACCTTGGACTGAAGGTTGGGGGCCTGCTCTGCTCCCAACCAGACTCAGGGAGAGCCAAGTCTCTGAAAAGTAGACCCAACCCCATTCATCTTTAAGAAAGATCAAGTTCCCTAACATGATTACTTTGAATTTGGAGAAATGTCTTTTTATATCTTTGTAACATCTTGATTTGTCACTACCATTCCCTGCAGCTACTCCCACTAAAGACTTCTTAGCCTGTGCTGTTCAGGTGACTGCTGGCAGTAAGCTAGAAGACAAACCTTACCCTGCACACCTGTATGCCCAAGCCTGGTAAGAGGGAAGGGAAACTGGGCAGCAGAGGAAGTGGCAATAGCCAAAGCCAAGGGGCGATAGGGTAAAGCTGCTGAACAGGACTATGGATGCTGAACAGCCATCCCAATCCCAGAAAGAGCCTTTGGGGGGTTTAACCACAGGGGGTTCTGTTCTACCACCAAAGTACCAGCTTCAACTGAAGCCAAATTGCTAATCTAAACTAATATTAACTAAAGGCCAAAAGAGAAATCACACACAAACACACACACACACACACACACACACACACACACACACACACACGACTGTGAATCAAAGACAAGGTATCCAACAGAAGGTAACCTCAGGTGGTCTGTTAAGGGAAAGGGGCTGAGCCCACGTTCCATTTTGGAGCTCTTAATTATTAGTTTCCATTTTCCTTCAGATATATTTTCTCTTTTTAAAAAATCTCAAAAGCTACTCTGTTGGTTGCATTATAAGTAAATTTCCTTCCTTAGCATAATCTAGAATGGAAACGACCATTTAACCAAATTCTATTAATGGGAAAATGGGGTCCAAAAGCCAAATACTGAATCTTGGCTTGGGGAACTCAATCTATTCCTTAGCTGGGGTGTGCCCATGTCTAAAAAGGAAAAAAAGATTACAAGAAAAAGGGTCACCTGGGTGGCTCAGTCGGTTGAGCATATGACTTTGGCTCAGGTCATGATCTCATGGATCGTGGGTTCAAGCCCCGTGTCGGGCTCTGTGCTGACAGCTAGCTCAGAGCCTGGAGCCTGCTTCAGATTCTGTATCTGCCTCTCTCTCTGACCCTCCCCTGCTCATGCTCTCTCTCAGAAATAAATAAAACATTAAAAATTTTTTTAAAAAGATTATGAGATAAAAAATTCATAGAGACACCATTTTTTTAAGTAGTAGCTATACACAGATCTTTACTTTCTCATCCCAGAAGAGAAGTATAATTGCTTCCATGTTAGAAATTTTTATTAGTCGCTTTTTCCTCGTCTAAGATTTCATGTTCAATAGGATACTTAGTTCATATAGATTTAATGACTGGGTAGTGAGCTAGTTGTCACTAAATTACAAAGACAGACCCTAAGTATATCTATAACTTTGTACCCCTGAGGTTGTGTTTCACTTCGATGCTATTCCTGCCAAGAAAGTGTGATCAGAGTCTGGTCATAAGGAACCATCAGATGGACCCAACTTGAGGATCACTCTCTGGAATGAAAGCTGTACTCTATGAAGCTGTCAGGAACAAAAGATAGGGAATGACTGAGGAATAGCTCCAGACTGGAGCTAGGGAGCTAAAGAGACATGGCAACATGGGTACACAGATGAGAGCCTGGACCAGTAAAGAAAAATCACAGCCTTGCAACAGTTGGCAAAATGGATAGGTGGTGAAATTTGATTGGAGTCTATGTACTGGTATCAATCAGTGTTGACTTCCTTACTGGGAGAGTTATAGGGTATTCATATTAAGGGAACATCCTTGTTTTTGGAAATAGACACTTAATTTTTAGGATTAATGGGGCATCATATTGGTAGTTCTCAAATGGTTCAGAAAAGACTAATGCTTTTAGACAGGTTGGCAGATAGACAAAAATAGAAAAAAAAATGGAATGAAATGTTAAGAGTTAGGGAATCTAGGTGAGAGGAATACTAGAAGTCTCTGTCCTATACTTGCAACTTTTCTGTAAGCTTGAATTTAATTCAAAATAATTTTGGGACGCCTGGGTGGTCTGATTTTGGCACAGGTTATGATCTCACAGTTCATGAGTTCAAGACCCGCATCAGATTCTGTGCTGCCAGCTCAGAGCATGGAGCCTGCTTCAGATTCTCTCTGTCTCTCTCTCTCTCTCAAAAATAAATGAATGTTAAAAAAATTAAAAATCAAAATAATTTTTATGATTTATTTATTCTTAAATAGTTTATTGTCAAGTTGGTTTACATATAACACCCAGTGGTCATCCCAACAAGTGCCTTCCCCCATGCCCATCACCCCACTTCCCCTCCCCCAACCCCCATCAGCCCTAGGTTTGTTCTCAGCATTCAAGAGTCTCTCATGGTTTGTCTCTCTCCCTCTCTCCCACTATTTTCCCCCTTCTTCTCCTGCATCATCCTCTGTTAACTTCCTCCTAATCCACCTATGTGTGCAAACATATGGTATCTGTCCTTCTCTGCCTGAGTAATTTTGCTCAGCATAACACCCTCTAGTTCCATCCATCTTGCTACAAATGGCCAGATTTCATTCTTTCTCATTGCCATGTAGTATTCCATTGTATAAATATACCACATCTCCTTGATCCATTCATCAGTTGATGGACACTTAGGCTGTTTCCATGTTTTGGCTATTGTTGAGAATGCTGCTATGAACATTGGGGTACATGTGCCCCTATGCATCAGCACTCCTGTATCCCTTGGGTAAATTCCTAGCAGTGCTATTGCTGGGTCATAGGAGAGTTCTATTGTTAATTTTTTGAGGGACCTCCATACTGTTTTCCAGAGGGGAAAATCAAAATAATTTTTAAAATTCACCTATGACCTCTAGTGAAAAAGGACCACAGCCTTTTGGAAATCCATCACCTCCTATGCAGCAAGTTCTTTTTTGTTGTTGTTGTTGTTGTTGTTGTTGTTACATTTTTTAAAAAAATATTTATTTATTTTTGAGAGAAAGAGAGAAAGAACGTGAGTGGGGAAGGAGCAGAGAGAGAGAGAACGACACAGAATCTGAAGCAGGCTCCAGGCTCTGAGCTGTTAGCCCAGAACCTGATGTGGGGATTGACCTCACAAACCGTGAGATCATGACCTGAGCCAAAGTCACCCGCTTAACTGACTGAGCCACCCAGGTGCCCCACAGCAAGTTCTTTTCAATCATGAACATAAAACTTCTTTGTTCCTGCTCTATTTTTAGTACATACAGACATCTGCAGAAAAGTACAGACATACTTTTCTATTATAACACTATATACGGTGAAAGACTGAAAACACTGCCTAGCCTTCTACTCCAGACAACATGATGCTAATCTCATTAACTTTTAATCACAGGCCCTTTTCCCAACCTCCTTGTCCACATTGCAGAGCTTCTGAATGCTGTCTTTCTTTTTCTTTCTTTCTTTTTTTTTTTTTTTTTTTAATATTTTTATTTATTTCTAGGAGAGAGAGAGAGGCAGAGTGAGCAGGGTAGGGCCAGAGAGGGAGGGAGACACAGACTCCGAAATAGGCTCCAGGCTCTGAGCTGGCAGTCAGCACAGAGCCCAACGCGGGGCTCGAACCCACGAACCGTGAGATCATGACCTAAGCGAAAGTCAGATGCTCAACCGACTAAGCCACCCAGGCGCCCCTGAATGCTGTCTTTCATTTCTAGTTTAAATTTAAGACTTAAATAAGATATTTACCCCAATAAAAAGCCACAGAGGGAAGCCTGAGTGGCTCAGTCAGTTAAGTGTCCGACTTTGGCTCAGGTCATGATCTCATGTTTGTGTGAGGCTCTGTGCTGATAGGTCAGAGCCTGGAGCCTGCTTCAGCTTCTGTGTCTCCCTCTCTCTGCTCCTCCCCCTCTCATGCTCTGTCTCTGTCAAAAACAAATATGTAAAAAAAATTTTTTTAAGCCAGAGAAAGGTTTATGGGGATGATCACTTGCAACCCCTGCATACTAAATCTTTATTTCAGAATATCTGAAACACCAGCCCTGGGATGTATATCTATAGCTTATGGTTTCAGTCACCTGTACCCCTCACCTGGACCATTCAAAGGTTTATTGTTGTTGCTATTTTAATGTTTATTTATTTTGGGGGAGAGAGAGAGAGAGAGAGAGAGAGTGTGTGTGTGTGTGTGAGCGTGCAGGGGAGGGCAGAGAGAGGGGGAAAGAGAGGATCCCAAGCAGGTTCTGCACTGTCAGCATGGAGCCCAATGTGGGGCTTGAATCCACGAACCATGAAATCACGACCTAGGCCAAAATCGAGTTGGAGGTTTAACCACAGAGCCACCCAGGTGCCCTGTTTTTTGTTCTTGTTTTTGTTTTGAGTGAGTGAGAGAGAGAGAGAGAGAGCATGCTCACACATCGGGGGAGGGGCAGAGGGAGAGAATCCTAAGCAGGTTGCAGACTCGAGCCCACAACAATAAGGTCATGACCTGAGCAGAAACCAAGAGTCGGATGCTCAACCAGCGGAGCCATCCAGGCGCCCCCGGACCATTCAAAGGTTAACACAACTGGGTAGTCCTTAGAGCATAGCCACATGGTTCCCTTTTCTGCTTTTAAGCCACTCGTTATTCTGTTTTTGCCTCAACACCAACTTCAGCTTTACTCAACTAATATCTAAGAATCGATTTCTAGACTATTATATCTCACTCTGAATCAATACTGGCATTGAAAGAACTAGGGCTGGTTAATGGGCCTTTTGAAGGGATGTTTTTATATAATTATAAGAGTCAATTCCACTCACATGTTTCTACCATGCTTGTGGCACTACACACACTGTAACAAGTCACTTCAGCAGGCTCTTTAAGATTCTATGATTGATTTCACCACAGTGCAGAGAAAACACCATATACAAAGAGGAAAATATTAAGACTATATAAGTACATCATCTATGTGTGACTACAACTGAGACAATCTGGGCTAGAAATACACCACTTACAAGGGAAAGGCCCAGTTATTAGACCAGCAAAAACCACAATGTCCCAGCTCTAAAAGGGCCAGGAAAGGGCAAGTTTTTTTCTCTCCCACCTCCAGGAAATTTCTGGACTGATTAAGCGCTGTGATGACCCAGGGATGCAACTTTTAAAAGGACTCTGAAGTTTTAGAATCCTTGTGGTCACTGAGATTGGTTAAAAAACAAAACTAAACAAAACAAAAAGCAACTACATTCAAATGGTCAAATAGGATATAAACAATGATATTCATTACTTGTTGCTTTGCAAAATTAGATTCCTTTTTTAAATGTTTATTTATTTTTGAGAGAGAGAAAGAGAGTAAGAGAGAGAGAGAAAGAGAGAGAGAGAGAAAGAAAGCATGAGTTGGGGAGGGGCAGAGAGAGAGGGAGATACAGAATCTGGAGCAGGCTCCAGGCTCAAAGCTGTCAGTACACAGCCTAATACAGGGCTAGAACCCACAAACTATAAGATCATGACCCGAGTTGAAGTCAAATGCTTAACCAACTGAGCCATCCAGGCATCCTGCAAAACTACACATTTCAACTTTTTTAGTATGAAGTTTGTTACTAGAGAAAAAAAAAAATCTATAACCTTACCTTACATATAATTCAACGCTCCTCATTTCTGGTGAAGAACTAAGGTTCAGAGAAGCTGAAAAAACTATTCAAGGTTCCACAACTGTTTCTAGACTAGAAGCCAACTTTCCACATGTCTACTGCAGTTTTTCTTTACGCAAAGTTATTTGCCTCTGTGCTTACTATGCATTGGAGATAGTTATGGACTTTTCAAATGAAAGATGAATACACACTGCAACAGATCTGTACTGACTTAAAAAAATTTTTGAACCTCCAAATGCAGAACCGTGAATAGGCTATAAAATTTGACTTGAATTCCTTATATAATTTCAACAGCCTCACCTTGCTTAACAGTTAAAACATTAAGTGTTAAACATAAAGTGAGTACTAATCATTACACAGTTATTATACCATAAGGACTATAAACAGCCAGGTGTTCCTAGCATGGAAGCAAAAATGATAACTCACAATGAACTTACTTCGAAAAGAATGCCATTTGAATCATTTTAGAATTAGAAATTGGGGCACCTGGGTGGCTCATGGGTTAAGCACTGGACTTTGGCTCAGGTCACGATCTCACAGTCTGTGAATCTGAGCCTCATGCCAGTTTCTATGCTGACAGCTCAGAGCCCGGAGCCTGCTTCAGATTCTGTGTCTCCCTCTCTCTGCCCCTCCCCTGCGCACGCTCTCTCTCTCTTAAAAATAAACAAACTTTAAAAAAAGAAATTGGGCTAAAAAATACAAATAACTAAAGGCCTGAGGTAACTGAGCTATTATTGTAAAAACACTTTGGGTGCACTAATGTGCAGAGCAGTGTCTTGTCTTTTAATTATAAGGTATGAACAGACATTTAATACTGTCTTTGAGATATCACACTTTTCACTTTTCCTGGTTGACTAAAAAATGGTCATGATTTAGTGACAATGTGAGGCTACAGTGTTGTATGTTGTATACAAGACATTCATAACAGCTCGATCCTGGCTGGTTGACTTTGGGATTTCTGCCATTCACTCAACAAACATTTGGCAAGCCCTTCCTCCACCTCCTGGAATTCTCCTGCTCAGCAGGGAGCAAGTTACTTAAGCCACTTGTCTACAGTGTTATAAAAATATAAAGATCACATAAATTAGGGAATGGGCTGATCAATACTTGCCACATGGAAGGCACTGCAGGAAGTGATTTTCTTTAAGTTGGAGGTGAGGAGGTCCCTGGAGTGGGTGAGTGGCAATATTTCAGAAAGAAAATAGGATATAGAAAAGGACTGAGGGATAAAATATGGTGAAGACAATTAAGGAGGCCTGTTGTGGATGCTCTATAAATATTTGACAAGAATTAAATCTAGGATAAGATGAATATATTTCCTTTTCATAACCACTTACTCCCGCCTTTACATGTAATTATTGTTGTCATTTTAGAATTGTCACACACAAAGCTCTCCTCTTCACTGAAATGATTTTGTAACTTTTAACATTCATTAAACGCTTTATCAAGTGATCCAAATATCTATTTCCTTTCTTGTCAACTAATGAGATTTCCAACTCCAACTAATTTAGCAGCTAAATAATAGTTCCAACAACTTATCTTTTATGCAGTTATTTATAGTAAATTGCTTTATAATTTTCTCTCTGTGCTCTTAGATCTAGCTGTTTTCAGTGGCTCTCATCTTTCATGTCTTAATCAAAGTATCATGAACCCTCTGGAAGCTGGACTTCTGCTGTAAATTTCACCTCTTTGCTGGAAATCTGGCCGGCCCTTGTTCCTCTCCAAAATGTCTCTTGCATTTAAACAGAGCATATGTTTCACACACACACATACACACACTCCCCGCCGGCGTTCCTGGACCTGTCATCATTGATGCAGTGCAGCTGTCAGGGTGGGATGACAATTTGAAGAGAGACAGGGGAGGAGGCGTGTAGAAGGGAAAATAGAGAAATTCACAAGGCGTGATTGAGAGTGACAGGCAGGAGAACTCCCACTCTCACTTGTGGGCAAATGCAGTGATGCGGCCGCATCTTCCGGCGGAGACCTCCAATAAAGGCAGTGAGGCACGGTATTTGGTAAACTTTGTCCTCCAGGCCCCATTAGGAACTTGGGGGGGAGGGGTCGCGGGCGGACCCGGGCCCCGGAAAACACGGCCCGGGGAGTGGCAAGGAACAGGGGTTAAGGCACCAGCTAACCCTCGGCTGGGCCCACTCCCCGCCCCCGTTCCGGGTAGGCCGTACCTGTCCCGCAGCCCGCGCTGGAGGCGACCCAGCCTCTCGTAGTATTCGGGGCTCGCCAGAGGCGCTGAGGATGCGGAGGCCGGGCGCATGCTGGCGCCGCCGCGCTCGCTCCGCACCGCCAAGGGACTGTCTGGTGACCTGGTTGTCCGATGCGACGGCCCCACCATGCACCGCGGGTAAACAGGGCGCGGGCCGCCGCACAGGGGGCGGGGCGGAGGTCTGCAGGGACGGGGGGGGGAGGCGGGGCGCCGTGGATGGGCGGGACAGAGGGCCGCGGAGGGGCGGGGCGGCGTGGAGGGGCAGGGCCGACTGCCGCGAAGGGGCGGGGAAGGAGGCGGGGCGTCTTGTAAGGCTGCGCAGGCCGTCTCCAAGGAGACTGGCAGATGCTCTCTCCGGGCCTGTGGCCAGGCAGGAGGTGGAGTGGCCGCGGTGCCATGGCCTCTCCGCCCGGAGTCTGCAGTCTCCTTTTCCTCTCACCCTTCACAATTCCCATGAGAGACACCCTAACCCTGCCCGAGGCAAGGAGCTCCTGTAAGGGACGAGTGAGAAGCGGTCCTGACTACCAACCCCCTACCTCGGTAGAGAATGGGAGGGTGGGGGGCACCGCTGGGTGGGAGCATTTCACTTGATTTTTAAAAAATGTTTATTTTTGAGAGAGAGCGCACGCTCATGAGCGGTGGAGGGACAGAGGGAGACAGGATCCACAGCAGAGAGCTCCATAGGCGGGTCGAACTCACAAACTCTTGAGATCATGACCTGAACCCAAGTCGGATGCTTAACCAACTGAGTCACCCAGGTGCCTCTCACCTCGTCATTTCAGCCTCTCACCTGATCATTTTTGCCTTTGGCATCAGACTGCATTAATTTTCTAAAGTTCATTGTCTCCTTCCTCCCACCAGCTGTCCCACTCTTCTTTCAGGATTTCTGAGTGCCAGGCATTGTGCTAAACTTTTCCTACCACACTTTTTAAAAAACGTTTTATTTATTTTTTTAATTTTTAATTTTTTTTAATGTTTTATTTATTTCTAGGAGAGAGAGAGAGACAGCGTGAGCAGGGGAGGATCAGAGAGAGGGAGATACAGAATCCGAAGACAAGCTCCAGGCTCTGAGCTAGGTGTCAGCACAGAGCCTGTCGCTGGGCTCAAACTCTCGAACTGTGAGATCATGACCTGAGCCGAAGTCTAACACTTAGCCAACTGAGCCACCCAGATGCCCCTTTTCCTACCACACTTAAAAGCAGAACAAAACACTACAAAAAGACAAAACCCAAACTACTAAGCAACTGCACTCAGTCCTGACAGTAGAACAGCCCCTCACTTAAAAGTCCATGCTGACCCAAGGATGTGTTTAATGCTGGTGACATTATTGGTTGATGAAGAGGGAAATCTTGAGAACTAGTTGCTTGTGAAGCAGACACTGGTTTGTGCAGACGAAGCTCAGTGTATAAACACTCTTCTCTGGTGAATCCTTCTGCATGGATTCTGGACCCAGACTACCTGGGCTTGAATCTTTTCTTCCTCTGCCCAGCTGTGTGACTGCTGGCAAGTTACCCTCTTGATGCCTAGATTTCTTCTTGTAAAACAGAGAGGCTATAGTGCGGGTCCCACCTATGCCACTGTTATAATAATTAATCAATGTGGGTAATGTTTATAAGAGGGTCCCACACAAGTTTTTATCATCATCATCATCTTGGGGGATAAGCTCCCTGAAGAAAAACAAACATTCCAAACTCACAGGGCAGAAGAAAAGGAACTACTACAGTATAATGTTTCTTTATTCTCTTATTCTTCACTTGGTTTATTTTCTCAGTCATTAATTTCACTTATTCTTAGGTGTGACTTAAGCTAGTAAATTGATCCTTAGCAAGAGAGATGGACCACTTAAAGGCTGGCAATATAAAACTATGATGTTACTTAGCCTTCCCTTCATATTTCCCAGGTCTAGGGCAAGGATGCATGGAGGCCTCTGTACCATCTCTTGAAGTATTAAACAATTATAAATCATGATGGCATGTTGTAGATAAACTATATTCTCTCCTCCAACCTTGACTAATAATGTACCTTCATAAAAACCTGGAAAGCCACAGGGGAATTTAGTTCTGTGACTCCTTCCCCAACTTACCCTCTTATCTACCAACCCCAGGCTCAGTCCTACACTGTGAGAGGCTCCCAATACAGGCAGTAATGTGTCTTCCTTACTACAGTCCACAAGTCCCACATCTATTGTCCACCCCCACCTTAGTCTCTTCTTGACTATGCATCAAGCCTGATGGTGAGCACACAAGTGATAATCACCCTCGCAGGAAGGATCCAGGAAAGAGATCTTTAAAGGTCTTGGAAAGGAGATTGGGCCCCTTTGAGCAAAGAATGTTGGTGTGGTAGGGACCTGGAATGTGTTGTAGAAGAGTGTGTGTACATATGAGCTTCAGGCAAGCATGCATCCTGGCCTTGGGGCCACTTTGCTTTGTATGGAGTAGCATGGCCAATAAAGAGCCAGAACAGGCTCTGTAGTTCACAGAAGCTGGGGGAGGGGCTCTCTGGCCTGGGTACTAACATTCCATTTTTTAGTTGTTGTATCTAATCATTGCACCAGAGTCATTTCATGGTCATGTACAAATGTTTATTTTGCTGATTTTAGTGCAAACTACATTTTGCCGCCACTCTGGCAAAAAATTGCATATTTTTAGCATATTTTATTTAGGTTCATTCTCACCCAGGTAAGTTTTTTAAAGGAAAAAAATCACTCAATTAATATAACTAATTATTTTCAGCAAATACACAGAGTAAGCAGATGAAGCAGTCACTTAGCATCTCAAATTTTTATTAGGCCATTTTAGGGGAGCCTAAAATTAAATATAATTAAACAGTAAATAGATAATTCAGAATAATTACAATTTGCATTTTATGGTTAATTATTAATGACATATGACAAATCTAGATTCAGGACCTCCTTTATTAATAGCACATAGCAAACTAAGCACATAGGAAACTAAGTGAATATTTCTAGAATATTTATGCTAAAATTATGCATTCTAAATGGTGATACTTTTAATAAATGCAGAGTTTTCACTTTGAATATTTAATTTGCCAGAGCACTGTCTTTTAATATTGTTCTTAAATCCATTTACATTAGCAGAGCTGATTTCTATAAGAAGCTCTGCTTTTACTTACCTGATCTACAGGCCAGCAAGTCTGCCTAGGTGGGCAAGGTTTCCTATAAGCTGCAGAATGTCTTAGGTGGAAGTTAGAGAGAATCTAGTCACCCTTTATTTTTTAGAGAAAGAAAAGTATTCAGGGCAGGTAAGGGACTTGGCTAAGGTCACACAGCTGGCAATCTGTGTGATATCAGTGAATTGTTCTAAATATGGGTCCCCAAGAGTCCCACTAAGCAAACAGCAAAGAAAGCCAGTGTTTTATCCCCGTAGTCATGGATCTTAGGGTGACCCAAATGAAATTGCTGCTTTCGTAAGCAGATCAACAAATGGAAAATTGGTTTTGGAAATATGTTGAAATTAGATTTTGACAATTTAAAGTTTACCTTTTTAAATGCCATTTTAAAAATGGATCCCGTATATGTGAGTCAGTAACTACTTGGATATTATGGGTTTTTTTTCGTAGAGCTGCCATACTAAAGTACCCCACACGGGGTGGCTTAAACAACAAAACTTTATTGCGTCACAGTTCTGGAAGCTGTAAGTCTGAGATCAAGATGTTGGCAGGATTGGTTCCTTCTGAGAGCCATGAGGAAGAATCTGTTTCATGCCTCTCGCCAAGCTTCCAGTTGGTTTCTGGCAATCTTTGCCATTCCTTGGCGTATAGATACATCACTCAGGTCTACCTTCATGTTCACATAGTGCTCTCCCTGTGTACATCCATATCTCTGAATGTCTCCTTTTATTTTTTTTAATTTTTTTTAATGTTTTTATTTATTTTTAGGAGAGAGAGAGAGACAGCGCGAGCAGGGGAGGGTCAGAGAGAGAGGGAGTCACAGACTGAAACAGGCTCCAGGCTCTGAGCTGCCAGTCAGCACAGAGCCCGACGCGGGGCCCGAACCCACGAACCGTGAGATCATGACCTAAGCGAAAGTCGGACACCTAACCGACTAAGCCACCCAGGCGCCCCCGAATGTCTCCTTTTATAAGGATACAAGTCATACTGGATTAGGAGCCCACACACCTTCCTCCAGTATGACCTCATCTTCATTGATTATATCTGCAATGACCCTAGTTCCAAATAAGGTCACACACTGAGGTATTGGAAATTAGGACATCAACATGTGAATTTGGGCAGGGGTCGGGGGAGAAACAACTAAACCTACAACAAACAGCAACATGGAAAAGCATTTCATTTTTTGCAATCACTATGCAGAAATATTAGACCTTATATCGTATGCTATGAGAAAATTCAGTTTTTGAGAAAAGAAGGTAAGAGATTACCTTCTACCTCCCAAGTAGAAAGTAAGAGAAAAAAAAGAAGAGAAGGTAAGAGGAAAGGCTATCACAAGTACTTGTGGATGCAACCCCTCCAGCCCCTGAGCATTTACACTGATGTAAGCATTTATTGCCTCATTTAAACCCCATGAGAGTCCTTTGAGGGTACCACACATTTAAACAACTGGACTAAGATTATGTTGCCCGTGTCTTCTTGGCCAGCTAGCAGTAAGTAATGCTAGAATTCCAACAGAAACCTTTTCCAATTCCAAAGTCCTGTCTTTTTTTTTTTTTTTTTTTAATTTTTAAGGTTTATTCATTTTTCAGAGACAGAGACAGAGTGTGAGGGGGGAGGGGCAGAGAGAGAAGGAGACACAGAATCTGAAGCAGGCTCCAGGTTCTGAGCTATCAGCACTGGAGCATGAGATCATGACCTCAACTGAAGTCAGATGGTTAACTGACTGAGCCACCCAGGAGCCCCTCCGAAGTCCTTTCTTTACCTCCATTCTACATAGCCTTGAAACTCGCCATTTGCTATTTACCAATACCTACTAATATTTTTTATTTTCCTGTATGGGATGTGTAAAATATAATGTATGCAGGATGTTTTTCACATATACATGGTTCCTTTGTTTGGGGGAATAGTATTTATTTACTGACAATGAATACCTTTTTCTATATGCTGTGATATAGTGCTATGTGTTCACCATTCTGTTCATTTTCCTCTT